CTCCGTGGTCTGCATATCTGGAGCCGGCCGCGGGTCCGGAAGCTGCCCCCCGGCTCTGGAAGCTGATCTGGAAGCGGCCGCGGGTCCGGCCCACGGTGCTCCGCCGCTTTGCTTCCGTCTCCCTGGTCTGCTGGCTCCGCCAGCAGACCAGGGAGACGGGGAGCAGCTTTTCTCGCCCCGGAGAAGGCGGGCGGCGGGACCAGGTGTCCCGCTGCTCTAGTTCTCTGGAGCGAGAAATCCCCGTTCATAACTGCGGATCCGACATAAGTCGGATCCGCGTAACTCGGGGACTGCCTGTAGTGGGATGGACTATGATGCTACTGTCAAATCAAGGGAGGACAATTATATTAAAGACACAATCATTTGCTATCTTAAAATGTGTTCATGAATTCCATAAAAGATGTATCAGAGTATCAGAAACAGTATCAGAGCCCAGATACCGTCAAAGTATGATATTTTTAATGTTACCAACACTTGTATTAGTAAGGGCTTTAAAACTAAAAGGGCAATCAGGAAACATTTCTGCTAACTTATGTTGATCTTTTTACCTTCAAAGGTATTTTAACTGTGATAATTGTTTTTTTGTATTTATAACCCCTTTTTCCTCCCCCATTTTTCCTGACCTTCACTTTTGGTTTTATGAGATGGTTGGAAGTAATGTTTTGTGTTTGTTGTATACCTGAAAACCATCACTGCAATTTTCAACAGTGAGTTTTAAAACATCACCTAGTCCTGATCTTCAGCTGATATAAATTGGCATGGCTTCATAGACTTTAATGCAGCTATTCCAACCACCAGATTATACTATTCCTGATGATGCCACAGCACACCTGGTAACTGAGCTATGTGATTTTGTCTTCACCCACAACTATTTCCAATCTGGGGACAATTTATACCCTCAAGTCAGCAGAACTGCTATGGGCACCCGAATACCTCATAATATGCCAACATTTTTACTCGCAACATTGAGCCAGAGCTGCTGCAGAGCAGTGCCAGGCTCACAAGTCTCATACTCTGCTTCATAGCTCAGGTCGTCCAGACTGCCTGCATGCAGCTTCAACAGCACGAGGACCAGCCTGGAATGCAGGCTCTGATCACCCATGGTATGTCTACACTGCAAAGTTAGTTCGAACTAATGTCCGTTAGTTCGAACTAACTTTCCTAGGTGCTACACTAGCGCTCCGTTAGTTCGAACTTAATTCGAACTAACGGAGCGCTTAGTTCGAACTAGGTAAACCTCATTTTACGAGGATTAAGCCTAGTTCGAACTAGCTAGTTCAACTAACTTTCCTAGGTGCTACACTAGCGCTCCGTTAGTTCGAACTTAATTCGAACTAACGGAGCGCTTAGTTCGAACTAGGTAAACCTCATTTTACGAGGATTAAGCCTAGTTCGAACTAGCTAGTTCAAATTAAGGGCTGTGTAGACCCTTAATTCGAACTAGTGGGAGGCTAAGGCTTCCCAGGTTTCCCTGGTGGCCACTCTGGCCAACATCAGGAAAACTCTATTGCCCCCTTCCTGGCCCCGGAGCCCTTAAAGGGCCACGGGCTGGCTACACACTTTGTGCCAGTTGCAAGGCTGCAAGCACTCGTGCCTGCACAGCCTGCACCTGCCACACTATGAGCCAGCCATCCGAGGGCTCCCAGCCCTTCACTGCTCCCCAGGACCAGCCTGGCGGCTCCCAGGAGCCTGCCCGGGGGCGCAAAAGGCGGGCGCCCGC